CCCCAGCCCAAACCCTTCACACATGCTAAATGACTCCTTTGACCCTCTCCAAAACCCTGCTAGGGTCACATAAACTCCCAAATTTCAGAGGCGCCACCAGCCAAATTCACCCCGCACTTGCGCTTTGCGCCTCCTCACGCAAAAACGGCTATCGCAAATCCAAAACTTTTCTGCCACAAGACACTCCTCAATGTGCTCTACAAAGTGGCTATCAAACATCTCTGACCCTAATTCCAGACACCCTTGTAACCCTAACCCTAACCCTAACCCTAACCCTAACCCTAACCCTAACACAAAATGCCCCTATCACAGCTTCCTGACGGTGTGATTGGCTTCTCATTTGGTAGCGTGCTTGCCCTACACCAGCATGTCAAAGTGTCGGTGCCAGGGACAACAAAGTGAATGTGAGCGGTAGGTGTGACTGCCGCTGCACAGAGAAGGCGTGGCAGATAAATTACGCCTGGTGTGCGCGCGCCTCTGTCTGGCTATAGCACGCGCTACCGGCCGAGAGCGCCCGTTTGGCGCGCGTATGGCAGCGCACGGCGCGTATGGCAGAAATCTGTCTGCGCACTTTTACGGCGTAAAATCTTGAAAATCAAGGTCCGCAGACGTCCGGACGCATCTTTTTGGCGGGGTGCGGTCTAATTTTCGGCGTAAAATCCTCGACTTATACCAGTAGGCATCATTTGGCCGTTCTCATCCGCCGCTTTGAGTTTGAATGGACGTTGCCACGCTGGACGATCGACGATGAAGTGCCAGCACGAATGGTCTGGCCCCTGGTTCATGCCTTAGTGGATAGGGACACGGAGGGTGTCGTCCTTGATGCGGCTCCAACTCCATACAGCTACGCGCGTTCGATCTGTCTTCTTTCTCAGGCTCGCTCGCGCAGGAGCAGTGCCGCTGCGAATTCTGCAAAAGATCAAGCCCAGGTGCAATTGCAGAAGTGTAGAGGAATGGCGCGACTTTTGGGGGGCCCAGATATGGCGAGAAGCTTTGAAGGCGCTGCGATTTGGGGGGACGCGGGCCCTGATGACCAGATACGTGTGGGACATTGGCTTGGCTGGGGACAGGAAAAGAAAGATGCCCGAAGAGATATGATCGCTCCCGAACCCGAAGCCGATTCGCATTGCTTCGATTTCGAATCTCGAAGACTTCGAGTGGGTCTTGCTGTGCGCTGTCCACTCCCTGAAAAGATAGCCCGGGTCTTTGCCTCACAGTAAACTTTGCTAAAGTGCCTGCTGCGGTCCTCTGACGAGGATCATGCGGAAGGGTGAGTCGATGTGGCAGCGTGGATTGTGCGAAAGCGAGGGGCCTGACATGGCTACGACTTTCGTCTTTTTGTTTTTCCCGCTCGCTGGCGGCGCGGCCCATCCACCGCCCATCCTCCTTCACGTCCCAAAGACCCGATGGTCTCACCCTTGTTGGCATGCAGCTGTAGCTCCGGGCTTGCAAGTGCTCGGCCTAGAGACCAACTTTGACCTGGAATTGATCACTCGAGGAGTCGGCAGGCTTCAAGCGGTGGAGGCGCAGAGCGCAAGCTCTGTTCTTGGCGTCACCATGCTGGACGGCCATCCGGTCCTTCCCATTCCCCCCTCTCAATCGGACCAATGCACGCGCAGAAAACGAAATGGATGAGAACGACAGGATGCAGTATTTTCGCGCAGCCTTTCAAGGAACCATTCTGACCGCTGTAAAGATGGGGCTTGGTCAGTCGACTCGAAATCTGCAGCGCGACGCAATCTGCTATCAGGCTCCTCCTTTTGCCGGATTGGCTTGCCGTCGACTTGTACACCGGCACGAGTCCCATGGACGCCCGCGGACCCATGATGCACAGCGTATCTGGAAGAGCTGCGCATCGTGCTTCTTGCCTGCGTCGAAAACATTGCTGTCTCGTTGGACGAGAGCCAGCTCGGGCCTACCGAGCAGAAGATCGAGCAGGAGATCAGCACGGCAGCTTCGAAGGTACAAGACCATGTGCCAAGATGCTGTGCTCGGTCCGACTTTTCAACGAACGATGGCTCGAGCAGTCCAGCAGACCCGGCCTCCGAATAGAATCGGGGTGGCATGCCGAGCTGAGCGAGGGTCAACAAAGAACGGGGAAGAAGATCTCGCCGACTCTTACGTACGAGTATTGCTTATCGCCTTTCGAGCAGTGGCTAGCCAACGACCGACAACTTAGCTGCGAGAGCGGTGCGCGGATTGCGCTACCACCGTCGACACCATCTCTGAGAGCCAACGCACTCTTCAAAGCAGGCGCTCTGGCAGCAACCTGCGCTTACGCTGATGTTGAAAGATATTTCGATTGCATAGCTGTGCCAAGCATATGAGGGCGTAGACGTCGAGCACAATCTCGATCAGGACCGCAGGGGGAGCCGGAAATTGCGCCGGCCATACCAAAAAAACGTCATCTGGGGGAGTCGTGGAGAAAAGCAAAGCCCGAGTTGGGAGCCAACGCAGCTGGCAATGATCCGGGCTTTCTTGTTGAGCTGTGCGTAGATCCGGGGGGGAAAAACATTCCCGGGCTGGCGAGCTACCTATGCTGGACTTTCTGGCGTGTCGGGCTTTGGGCGAGATGCGCCGCCTTGCTCAAAGACTCTGATGGGCAGCAACGTATCGTACACCTGCGTACCATCGGCATTGCCGCCATATCCGTACGTGGTGGTCGTTTCATTGAGGAGGAGGTTAAAGTTGCTAGCCAGATCGATCTCCTTTGGAATCCGAGCTTTGAAATGGTAGGCGCTGTAACCTGCCTCGGATTCGCCAGCGACGGGCTTGACGTGCTCGGCCAGCGTGTAGATGCGCTGCAGGTTCGTGCGGTACGATTGCTCCAGGAACAGCGTCGCTTCGATGGAGGAGATTTTGAAATAGGCCCCAGAGCCTTGTGGGAGTGGAAGGGGGCAAAGGATGGCAGCAGGGTAAGGCGGGGCCGAGCATGCGATGATGGCACAGACCCACGCGCCCGCCCCCCCTTTGGCTTGGCTTTACACTCACAATAGATGACTTCGAACTCCTGGCCCTGTTCCAGCGCAGCAGTCGGAGCAGGACGCAAGAATTTGAAGCGATAATCGTTGATGGCGCACTTGAGCTGGCTGGCTGCGCGCTCCTCCTCGTCGGAGGATTGGCGCAGGATGAGCTGATCATCAGCGCGGACCGAGAGGAGAAGCATCAGCGAGGCCGAGGCCGAGGCCCAGATGGCAGTGAGCGTGCGAAAGAAGCGCATGATCATGAGGATGAGGGACTTGGCTGAGTGGGCGACGCTTGCGAGGAAAACATGCGTGGAGAGGTGGATCGTGCAGCATGCAGGAGCTTTGCGGAGCATGGTGAGAGCCCATGCAGTCCAGTCCCTCTTTATATACGACTTTTCTCTCGTGTGCGCCGAGCGATTGGGACTTTGGTGACTTGAGTGCCCCACCCCGGACCCGGCCCGCGCACGACCGCGCGCGCGTCGTCATAGTCTTCAATCAGGATCGCAACAGCGGTAGCCGCGCATCCACGCCCGCCCTTCTTCTCAATCTCGAAGGATATACATATGCGCCGCGTGTGTATTTAGGCAGCAGATCGAGTCCCGAATCAGCAGTCGTGAGTGTACCGCGGGCGCAGCCAAGGCCGAACCCGCGCTGCGTGCGCTGCTTAATTGAATTGATTCCGACTCGATCGCGCCTAGCTCCGATCCGATCGCGCGCGCGCGCGCGTGCGCGGTTGCACGTGAGTTGCGCGGCGGCGGTCGCCCGTATATAGCGAGCGTATAGTCAGCAGGCGTCAGCACGCGCAATCCAGACGCGCGGTCACCGTCACGGTCACGAAATTTTCCCATTTCGCGCTCGCACATTCTTGCTGTGGGAAGGGCGAGCGTTGCACGCGCTGTCCACGATCCCGAAATATCGGAGCGAGGTGTCCTGAACAGCCCAGCTGAGCTGCCAGCTTTGGCGCGTGATGCGCCCATCGAGTGCGTTCATTTGGTCAGCGGAGTTGCGAGGCGGGAGGGGTGCGCGAGGGGAGTGGAGTGCATCCATCTCAGTTCATCCCACGCCCGCACGCGGCCCCGCCGTCGCATCGACCATCACTGGTCCAACTTTTGCTTCATCACCTGCACGTCCTCCATCAGAGCGTCTTGAGCCCAACGTCGTCTGGTCCCCGAGTAGGTCCAATTGCTTGCGAGAACATCAAATTTCCCAAAGGGAGCTAGCTGCTCTCTGGTGCGTTTGTTTGGGGCACCGTGCAGCGATCTCTCCACCATGCATCCGATGACGGGGCGCGTGCCACAGCCGTGCAGCTTCATGAGCCTATGCGCTACCGACGCATTTGTAAGCTCGAATGAACGCGCAAGAGCTGTTCGAGACACCCTGCTCCCGATAGGCTCGAGTCCAACGCCGAGGCTAACCAAGAAACAGACCCAGGACCAATTCGAATGACCAGGCTGCCGCCCTTCGAGCACATGGCTGGCAAACGACGTGACGCCGTCTGCGCATTGCTTCAACATCGCAGACATCACCCTCTATAGTGCTATTGTAGAAGCGCGATTGCTAAAAAAGAACTACGAGCTCTCCTCCGCTCTCGTCTGTGGGATGCAAACAGTGAGAAGATCGTGCGCAACGCTGCACCGCCCAAACGACTCACCTCGCACCGCTCCGCTAACGAAACATGTCCAGCGTTGTAGACGCTCGCAAGCGCTTTGCATCGCTGAGAATGCCTCGCCTTGCGCACGCAAGAGGCTGACGAGGGGCGCAGAGGAACTCAGCTGTGCTGTTCCCCGCGCGAATGGATTACTCACTCTCTACTCACGCGATACCCTCCCCTTCCAACCACTCGCTCGTCTCTGCATCCATCTCCTCTTCCCGACGCTCCGACGCGCAAATGATATAATCTCCCCGTCTCAGCTCAGTCTTTCTCGTTTGCGCTTCCTGCTCCATTTCCCGCCTCGTCAGCCTGCCCTTGCCAATGCGCAGCAGCACACCTCGTCCTGCGATGATTCCCGTCCTTCGCGACGAGCTAACGACGAGCGAGTGCTGTTCGCCCGTCCGAATCTCTTCTTTTGCGGCTAGCACAAGGTTACGGTCGGGCGTAACGGCGCCCTGGCCGAACAAGTCTTGCAGACCGATATTCTTGGGTCCGCCTGCTGATTGTGCCTCGCGTGGGCCATGTGGAACGCGCCCATTTGCAGACGGAGCGTCGCTTCCTGCAGCAGGCTTGGAGAGGCCTAGCAGCGCCATCAATCCTTCGGCGGACGTCGTTGCGGACTCGTTGGCCTCTTTGACGCTCTTGCCGTCGGACTTGCGCGATGCGGAGCCCAATGCGGACGCGTACGATTCTCGTCTGGGACTCGTGGGACTTGGCAAGGGTAGCGATTCGGCAGGAGGAGGCTGAATGTGCGCGTGCTGCGAGGTGGCTGATTCAGCGGCTGACTCTCGCTTGCCTTGACTGACTGCGGGTGAGGCGGATGCTTGCGACGCACTGCTGGACCCTGCGGCGAAGAGCATGTCCAGCAATGACTTGTCCGCTGGTTGCGCGGCGGCCGGCGCTAGCGGTGCTGATGGTGACGGGACCGCGGCCTGAGCAAACATCTGATCGAGCAGCGAAAGGCCGCTGGTATCGCGCGTGGGCGCTTGTGTTGACGAGCCAAAGAGAGCATCCACAGAGAGGCTGGAAGTCGCGGGTGCGGTGCCCAGATTGGCATCTGCGGACTGTTGATGCAATCTGGGAGGAAGGAGGTCGGGGGAGAGGAAGGGGCAGACAGGCTGAGCGCGAGGCGGTGGGAGAAGAGGGGAGACGCGCTGAGCGCGAGCTTATGGCCCCCGCATGTATGCGGCCCAACGCACCTGACGAGTTCCTGTCCCAACGTATCCCGCTGCTCTTCTTCGAAGATCCAAATGCCGTACGTGCGACTGCTCTCCTCCTCCTCCTCCTGCCCCTCCTCGGCGGCAGGTCTGTAGATGAAGAAGCCCTCGTTGCAATCCACCTCATCTCGCTCTCCCAGCGTCGCTATGAAATTGTCCATGCCATTTCTATTCAGCACGAACAGTCCATACGTCGGAGAGGAGCTTCGAGAGTAGATGAACAGAGGACCTTCGATGGATGTCTTGGACCACGCGCTGCTTGGCTCGTCGTACGTGTACAGGACGACGAAGGAGGTGCTCTGCAGCAACGAGACTGCATGAGGGTCGTAGCGCGATAGCACCTTCATGTTGAAGGCCTGTCGCGATGAGCTCTCCATCGTGACGCATGCAGCGCTGGAGCGAGGTGAGGGTGCAGGTATGCTAGTCGCTGCGGATGGCAGTGGTGGCGGTGCGGTGATGGTGAGGAGGAAGAAGAAGAAGCAGACAGACAGACACCTTACTTGACTCCACTCGAGACTGCCACACGGGAGCGCATGCAGCATGCCGGAATGCGCACTTCCGCGGCGTGCCTTTGACGTCACGTGACGCGCGAGAGCTGTGGAGCGTCGAGGTGGATGGGAGCTGCATGTCACCGTCACACAACCAATCACAAATCACGAATCACGAGTTGGATCCGTCGGGGTGAGCCTATACACGATTCCATGCACGCCCTTTCTCTCTGGAGCTCACACCCCCTCCGAATCCTTGCGGAGCTCGACGGTCCAACAGAACTCCCCATCCGTCTGCACCTTGACTCGCGCTCGCGCCACATGATTGGAGGTGGAGAGAAAGCCGCCGATCGCGCTCCTCTGTGTTCCATCTACGGGAAAGAATGGTGGTGCGTCGTCGATTTTGCAATAGAGCTCAGCAAGGGAGGCGCGCCCGCGTGCGCACAGAAGACGACTGGAACACGCACCTAGATCCCATTCCAGCCCTTCCGTCTCGATGCGCACGCCTACCGGACCAGCACCGATGGGCAGCATGCCGCACGTCTTGCCCAAGATTGTGGGCGAGAGGTGCAGCTCGTGCTCGCCCTGAACATGGCGAGGTGAAAAGGGGGACGAACGTGAGCTGCGAGTTGTGCGGCGTTTGAGGTGGCATCGCGACACGACACGACACGACACGACACGACACGACACGACACGACACGCCCACTCACCTGCGGCAAGACCCAAGCAACGCTATTCTCGCTTACGACAAACGTCCTTTTGCGCTTCTTCAAGCGTCCTCCTCGTCTTCTTTCGGGATCATCGCTTTCCGCAGCATCCGGGTCCTCCACGCCCCTCCCATTGCTCACACCCGGCGCCAAGAGCCATAGCGTGTGGATCGTGTGCAGCGTCTGATCCAAACGACCAGACAATCCGCCAAAGATGACGAGCTGCATCTCCCCCTCGCTCGTCGTGCCTGGTACGCTGGCATTGCTGCGAGACAGCGCTTCCACATCCTCAATGTGCTGAATGCACTTTTGAAGATCCGTCGCGTACTGCGAAGGTCGATGATGCACCGCCACGCCCAGGGACGAAAAGTAGTCTCGCACGTGCGCGTGCAGAGAGTCCAAGTCGCCCAGAATCGCATGGGGATCCAAGACCGTCTCGCGCGATTCGCCACCGCCTCGATAGGCTTCGTGCAATCTATTCGCTCCTCCATCCGCGCAGACACGATAATTCGCTGTGCGATAAGCATCGTCAGCTCACGCAAAACTCTGCCATGGTATGCGCGCGCGCGCCCGCAACTCACCGCCATTCCAGAGCCGTTCAAAGGTCCGACGATGATCGGCGTGTATGGGCGCGTTGAGGAGAATGATGGCGTATGCGGGTCGCGCGACGCCGCTCGCAGCAGGGTCTTGCAGCATCACCGACGGATCCCATTGCTGAGCGCTCGGTCTGAACCTGCCCGCTGTGCGTCGCGGGGTTGCGACGTCGGCGGAATCGTTTGCAGCTCGAGAGTCCTGCGGCGGACCTTGCTTTGTTGTCTCTTCGTTATCATCGCGCTCGACACCGAGACTCTTCTCGAGCGCATCTCTGCCTTGCCATCGCACGCCACCGTTTCGCTCCCTTTCCCACTCATCCAGCAGGTCCAAATCCACTGCCCTTGCTCCAATCTTCCAGACTCGCTGGCAAGATCCTGGTCCTTGGGCATCTGAGGGGGCCAAGCGAAGCGATTGCGCCACCCCCTCGTTCGCGGGTACAGCATGGGCACCGGTCCATCGCGTGGCGGGCGAAACATCAGCGAGCTTTGGCATTGTCGACTGCTCGCCTTTTGCTGACATGGGCGCATCGGGCGCTCTTCCCGGCGGCGGAGAGACGAGTCGAGTGCCTTTGAGCTGGGATGGAAAGTATTCTTGGTGGACAGGATGCGCAAAAGAGGGCTCGTAGCGATAGTCCTGTGCAAAGGGAGGACGCCATTGTAAGGCACAAAGTCGCGCAAACACTTTCTGGGACAAAAGTCTACCATTTGCGCAAACACTTTCCACCCACCTTGGCGTAGTCGAGCGACCTCATGAGCTTGGTGGGAGCGTTTCGGATGTGCACCGGCACCGGATACTGAGACGAGGTGGCGCGAGTGGGTGGCGCTTGAGCATGGCTTTCTGCTTTTGGCGCTCTCGCGCGTGCTTTGTGCCGCCGCCGCACTCACATTGGTGCCCTCCCTGACCAGCGTCCTGGCTTTCTGCAGCGCTCTATACGCCCTCGTGCTCTTTTCGCTCTCGGCGAGAAAGACTACGGCCTGAGCGAGGTTCTCTGCACATTCGGGATATCCAACAAGCTGACAGGCTTGATACGTGTTGAGTGCGATGTTGAGAGCCTCTGGTGTATTGACGTCTTCCGATGCCGCGACGATCATTCGACGAGCGATAAAGAGCGGGTCCTGAGGCGCCGGGTGAATGGTGTGAGCAGGTTGAAGCGTTCCCTTGTCTACGCGCACCCGCTCACCTCGCCCCGCTCAATCATCGAGACGAGCCAAAAGACGCTCGCGTCGACGTCGCTGCCGCGTATACTCTTGTGCAGAGCAGAAATCAAATCGTAGTGATCGTCGCCGGTCCGATCATACTGCATGGCGCTTCGCCTCAGCAAAGTTTTGAGCGAGTCCATGTCCGTGGGCGAGTCTTGACTCGACATCAACAACGCCAATTCTAGCGAATTGAGAGCGGTTCTGTGGGTGATACTTCACGTCAGCTTGCGCGCCCACATCCTCCTCACAGCGCCCACCTTCCCCCTCACAGCGCCCACCTTCCCCCTCACCTAGCGTCTCCGTCCGCCATGACAGCGATCCAATCCAGCATCTCGTCCCGCGCGCCGAGCGGGAGCGCATCTTCGTCGTCGTCGTCGTCGGCGGCGGCGGCGGCGCTGCTGCTCGCGGAGACGACGACCCTCCCTCTAGCCCTGCGAAGCAGCGCGCGCGTATCTTCCAACGTCATCTTTTCCAGCACAAACACGCGCAACCTGCTGAGCAGCGCCGCTTGAAGCCTAAACGACGGATTTTCCGTCGTCGCCGCCAGCAGAATGACGTCGCTAGAAAGTGTGAAGGGAGAGGGTGTGGGAAAGGCTTTTTCTTGTCAGATTGGCGTGTGGTATTTTCCCCATCTGTCCGAGCATGCGCCATGCAACCCCACCCACCCCTTTTCGACGGACGGCAACAGGACATCCTGCACCGCTCTAGACCATCTTTGAATCTTGAAGCAAGCAAGCAAGCAAAGCTCAGAGGCGTCAGTGTCGCGCATGGATGGCGCATCTCTCGCACCACGCATCCGGCGCCCTCACCTCATCTACAAACACCAGCGTCCTCTCTCCCACCAATCTCAACCTGGACAAAGCCTCTTCCAATATCCTCTTGAGCTCGACCGCACCCGTATTCGTAGCGCTGATCTCTACCAATCTGTTCTTGCGCTGCTGCTGCTGCTGTTGTTGCGAGCTGCTAGACTTGGAGAGGATGCGAGCTAGCGTCGTCTTGCCGCTGCCTGGTGGACCCCACAGGATGCAAGAGGGTACCTTGCCTGCTCGATGCAGCGACTTGAGCGTCTGCAGCAGCGTTCCTTGTCCCTATGCGGGG